ATGTGTTGTTCACTGATGAGCACTTTAACAATATTGTTTAATTATTTAATTATTCAACGGCTACCTAGTTAAATTCATTAATGTATATTCACATTATATTTGGGTTATTTGTCAAGATTAGCAGGGGTTGGACTGATACATGATATACAGTGCTATTCTCCCGACTGAAGTGACAGTATCATTCCACAATCTTAAAGAATTACTTCTTTAAATAAAAACTTCGTTTTAACTTTTTGAGTGATCAATAATGTTTTCGAATGGGTGTTGTGGAGATTTTATTAATTTCACTGGTTGAAATCATGAGTCAATTGAAGCTAGACCACCATGGAAAACCTGGAAGTACTGGGAAGCTTTCACTGAACATTGAAGCTCCAATTGACTCATGATTTCAACCAGTGAAATTTCTAAAATCTCCACAAAACCCATTCTGATAATAATCACCTGCCTACTAGTGACTGACTTCAGGAGACACTCCTGGAGTTCTAGTGAGAAGTCGTTACCAGAGGAGTTCAACTAGGTCTGTTGTGAGATAGGAACTCACTGAAGACAATGGTGTACGGTGGCGCAACTTCGTGGATTGGTTGAAGTTAGATATTAACAGCATTGGATGCCGCCTCGGCGGTTCAATAATTAAGTGCTCGTGCGCGAGACTCATAGGTCCTGGGTTTGAATCTCGCGGGGTGCGGGATCGGGGATACGCACTTCTGAGGAGTCCCATACTAGGACGAAACGGCCGTCCAGTGCTTCCTGGTTTTACACGGTAGTCTAGCTTCAATTGAATCATGACTTCAATAAGTTAAATTTCTAAAAATCTCCACAAAACCCCTTCTGATAATAATAATTTATTGATTTTTTCTTGGTTTACATTTGTAAGACATTTATTTTCAGAAAAAACATGACAATTTTTTTTGTTGTTGCTTCGCTACAACGTTTTACAAGTGAATGATTAAGAGTTAACAATAATCAAATTATCAGAAGGAGCCATCTAGGCCTTCCAGGTTTTCCATGGTGGTCTAGCTTCAACTGACTCATGATTTCAACCGGTGAAATAATCAAATTACTTTTTCATCAATATAACATAATAAATGTACTTATGTTCACCATTTTCATAAAATTAAATATTTGGAAGAATAATTGAAAGCAAATCATGATGATGTATCAAGTATTTTCAAACTTTGTTTTGAATTCACTTGATATTGTTTACTTGAATCTTCCCATTGATGTTTAGAACTGTAATTGATCAGTCTCTTATTGGTATATGTGCATACTGTGCATATTGCCTAGATATTACCTCAATTCACAAGCATTATAAGTAGAGATAGATAGTGAAGAAAACGCGAGTCCCGGTTTCCACTGCTAGTCATCATCCATTTTTACTTAGAATGTTTGTTTATTTTGATGAATTAATTCACAAAACATTATAAAATCACTTGTTAATTAAGCGAACTGGAATTTTGATTTGATTCACGTTGACTTTATAATAAGAATATTAATCAGTCAAGTAATGTTGGTTCATGATCTCAACAATACTTAACAATCTTCAAAACTCATTGAATACAATAAAATCAAATTATCTTTTAGTACATTTTGATTTACATATTAGTATTAATGTTTCTATGATTTTCAGTGAATAGATATGTCTAATATGTAATTATCTGATAGGAGAGCATAAGAATATCATATCATATAGGTTGATATTTCTTGTTCATTATGAATTTCTTTCAGCATGACGTGTGTAAACATTGTTTAATCTGAGATTAGAAGATCAATGTTTACTTGTATCAGTTCAGTGTGAACCTTGTTCAATATGACAAGTGTGGACTCTTATTCATTGTGGTAACCGCTTAGAATGATATACGTTTTTATTTTCAGATTAGTTCCACTTTCGGCATGATTTTCTTTCTTGATGATATTCTTCATAATAAATTAATGTATGTTATACATACATACTTACGCCTATCACTCCGAATGGAGCATAGGTCGCTAACCAGCATTCTCAAACCAACTCTGTTGTGTCCAATTGTTATTCATTCTTCTTCTCCATTTCTCTGCGTATTGTGGTCTTCGATCTCCTCCTTCTTCTCATTTGACCTTGAGGATTCCAGGTGGAGGCTTGCCTTGTGACGCAGTTCGGTGCTTTCATCAATCTGTGTCCTATCCACTTCCAACCCTTCTTCTTGATTTCTTCCTCCACTGAAATCTGGTTTGTTCTCTCCCATAGTATGTTGTTGCTGATAGTGTCTGGTCAACGTATCCGAAATATTTTACGTAGAAAACTGTTAATAAACACCTGTATCTTCTGGATGATGGCTTTCGTAGTTTCCAATTTTCCACCCATATCATAAACGATATAATTAGTTTATTTATCAACATTTTATCTAATATTTGAGGATAAAATATTCTTGGAAATTGTAATAACTTGAAGAGATGGTAATCAAATAAACAGTATTTCTTGGATGCTGTAAATTTCTGAAATTATTATTTATGCACTCGGAAACTGTGATTAATTGAATTTTAGAATAATAAATGGACTGTGCCTAGTAATCGTTCATATCCAGACCTCGTAGCTGTTGGTTAGTGTGTTCTATATTCAGTAAACGGAATACACCCATTAAGACATTAAATAAGAAAGATTAGTTCAGCGAAGAGTTTTTATTTAGGCGAATTCATTTTAAAAGCTGTACAGTCGCAAATATATATATATATATATACTTATTTTTCATCAGGATGCTAATAATTACTAGAATAATGGTAACAAACCTTTGTTAGACAAGGTGACAGTCAAATAGAATAAACAAAGTTCTTAAAAAAATTTTTAGAGACAGGGAAACCAATAATCGTTTGATTGTTAATGGCTTAGATTGTTATTAAAAGATAGAAAGGGAACTTATCACTGGCGAAGGATGGCTCAGCATGATAAGATAAAATGTTGAAGTTGAGGTTAAATGTAATCAGCAGGATCGCAGAAACAGAAATAAACCAGATGGGGGTAGACGATCAAAGGAAAAGATGGAAAGGGAAGAAGATGGCTATAAAGGAAGGAGAGCATGAAAACAAATTATAAAATATTAAGTTCATGGTAGAAGAAGAAGTCGTACCATATTCTTTTGGGAACACAATTCTGGTTTTCCTAGATGTATGGTTATTGCTTCGGCAATCCTAAAAAGATGCAATATAATTTCTTTGGAAGACTTATACTTACCTTGTAGATGACTTTGAACACAGAGTCTGTCTTGATTGAATGACCTGTGTTCACAAGGTGTTCAATTATTGAACTTCTTATTGAGCCGTTTCCTGCTCTTCTTAGCCACGCCGGATAATGTTCTTGAATTCTTTTAGATAAAGTACTCATTGAACAACCTATATACCTAGCTTCACATGATCAGGTAAATTGTTCTATGCTTGTTACGAGTTGTGCTGAATTTGTCTGCCTACACTGTGATCCAGGTACATACACTTTTCAAGTCTTAAATGAGATGAAACGCGTATCCCCAATTTTAATATTAGTAACAAATCACCTGTCCTATAAAATCCGTGATAAAAGACTAATCAAAGCTTAGTCAATATTATCTACACTGGGAAGTTCAAACCTATACAAATTGAATTAACAATATTGTAAGCTTCATATCAAAATAAACCATTTGCTCTTTGTATTTTGATAAAAGTTCTGGTGAGACTATAATTTATGCACGACCTTTAAGTAACGATAAACTGACCTTGAGAGTCTCCACCTAATAACTAGGATCAAATGGGTGTTATAAATAAGTGCGAGGAATTAAAATTATGATTTACAGTTAAAAATTACATTTAGGAATTTCACCACGAACTGACGTCAGCTATGATGCCAAAACCCTATTTATCCAAATGGATGAATGAATTTCGCGCCAATGTCCTAGACCTATTAACTTATACCTGATTGATTCGTCCATAAATTATAGTCTCATCAGTTAAACTATCAAATGTATAGATAAATTATCATGAAGTCATTATATGTGAGAATTATATATGAAGTAGTCTCAGCGATTGAAATTTAAATAGTTCCAACGTTTTGTCCAGCTAACGTGTCTAGACTTCGTCAGGGTAATAATCAAAATCATCAAAGAAATATAACAATTTTGATCATTACGCTGAAGAATTCCAGATAATTTTAGTGAACGAAACATTTAAATGATTTAAATTTCAATCACTTAAATTATTTCAAATATAATTTTGTACATATAATGACTTCTATACATACTCGGAGCCCCATTTCTGTCGAACTATTCGTTCTAATCTTGACGAACATACGTATAACATTATTATGATATTAATTTTTTTGGCGAGACTCTAATTTATGGACAAGCCGATCAGAAGCTTTTTAGAGATTTCAAGGTTAAGGCGCCAACTTCAGGGCTTAATGCCAACGTACTATTGGTTCACAGGGAATTTTGTACAAAACGTGATAATTGAGCGACTATAACAAATAAAACGGCGGGACTATAATTTGTTGATGAATAATAAAAGCACCAGTAACACTGGCTGCAGCCAGGTACTACAATATATACGGATGATTTGAGAGCTCACAGACTCCTACGTAAGCTTGGTTATGTTCATCGTGTCGTTCTCCTCAAGTAGCATTTTGTGCACTCAACAACCGGAGTGCACATAAACGATATTGAAACTATGTGGTTGAAGCTGAAAGAGTATTTGAGACTTTATCATGTCTTCAGCTGCCCACTATTCTGCAGCCGTATGGATGATTTCCTCTACTGCATGCATTACGATTTTAGAACCTCTGAACCTCTTTCTAACCTTGACAAGTTTTTCAACCACGTATAAGAAGTGTATTCACTTTATTCCCTTGGTTTTGTAGAACATACTGACTGTTTGCTGATTGGCTAATATTTCTCAAGTTTACTTAAGATTCGTTCAAATGTCCTCCATACATTAGAGTCCCGCCACTATTTTTCTTTTTTAAATAATTTTTCTCTTTTTTTGTCTTTTTCTTTTTGTTTTCAAAGGTTTTGGCTATAGATATTGATGCAGGTGAAAATGGTACAATTCACTATTTTATTCATTCTGGTAATGATAATAATTATTTTCAATTAGATTCATATAATGGAATATTAAGTATTCATAAACAAATTCCATATAATGCAATAGGTGAATATATTCTTAAATTAGAAGCAAGAGATTGTGGTAAACCATATCGTTTTACAATAACAGAATTAATTATTGAAATTGATCAATCACCATCTAAAGCATATCTTACAACAAATATATATCAATTACATAATTCTGATAGAATTATGCAATATGGTGCTAGTGATAATACATTAAATTTATATATTATCATTGCAATTATTGCAGCAGCTTGTGTTATATCAACTATATTGTTATTTTTAGTGTTTATATTTTTACAACGTACAAAACGTAATCGTCATGATAGAACTGATTTATCAGAAAATTCAATAAGAAAGTATCATGATATAAATATGAAAGAATTACAAACAAACTATTCCATAACAAATCAATCACAAAATCAGAACATGAATAAATTTTCAGATTATGGAGGTAAGAGATAAATCAATCAATTTTATAATGATTTTAGTTACTAATTTATACCATATAAATAAAACTTTCATATCTTGTTTAAATAACAAAAGAAGAAGGTATGATATTGTAACATCTTCCTGAAAATCTTTATCATTTTCGAAAAGTTTGGTTGAAGTTAGACATTAACACCATTGGATGCCGGTTCGGTGGTTCAATGATTAAGCACTCGCGCGCGAGACTGATAGGGCCTGGGTTAGAATCTCACTGCTGAGGAGTCCCACAATGGGACGAGTTGGCCGTCCAGTGCTTCCAGGTTTTTCATCGTGGTCTATCTTCAATTGACTTGTGATTTCAACTATTGAAATTACTGAAATCTCCACAAAACCCCTTCGGACTTTCGAAAAGTGGTAATAAGCTAAATCGACAGATATGAATTGGATAATAACTCATTGCTTGTTTACTAAAGGTTAGTTGTGATATAAATAATTAGTTTGTGCAAGTCCGAATTAGACAGTGAGCTCTAATGTTTCTGAAGGTTGTAAATAAATATTGTTGATGAATGGCAACAGTGAAGAAATTTAGATTCACAGTTTCAAGTCGACTATCTGCAATAAACAAATATCATATGTATAAATATATTTCATTAAAACTAAGAATAAAACAAATACAGGATTTATTCACGCCCAGTGATCCTTATTATGGTCAATAGATAAATAAATGTATTAAGGTATTTAAGATATTGTAAGTTTACTAAACAGTGAAAAGATATGTGAATATGTTTCGCATACATAATCTTATCAAACAATTACTTACTTACTTGCTTACGTCTGTTACTCCTAATGGAGCATATGCCGCCGATCAGCATTCTCCAACCCACTCTGTCCTGGGCTTTCTTTTCTAGTTCCATCCAATTCTTGTTCATCCCGTAGAAAACTAACTCGCTATCTAACAATTACTTACATCCACATATATTTGATATCATGGAAACTAATAGTCAGAGAAATGATCTGCTAATCAGGTTTCATATATTCAATTGATTTAATCAGTAGTATCATTTTAAGTCTTATTTATTTTATTAATATTCTATTAGACAAAACATATTTTCCCGATATGTAACGTAATCTAATTTGCACTTGGATTTCACTAGTGTATCATTTTAATGTATACATCATTTGTTTCAATATGTATTACTTAATCTTAGTTCACGGTTTGAACCTTGTGATGGTTTTCTACTGGTTTAAATTGTTACAAATTAGACCATTCAGTTATTTTGTTAAGTTGTAAGTTACTCAGAACATATCTAAGTAACATGTCACAGTTTATTAATATGTGATACATTTTGAGAATAATCATAAAATATCTTATATAATATTTATTTAAACAATCTGCAGATAACTAGTTGAAGTAAAAAAGAAAGCAAGAACAATGACTTTTATAGAATAACATGATCTTATTTTATTACGTCTGGTTCTTGTCGGCAACTTACAACTTGTATAACTTACAAAATGCAATCAAATTACTTACATGGAAGAGCTTATAAGTATAGATGGAAGATGGTTAAAAGTGGAATCGAGGACGTGGTTTCATCTTATTTGGTACTCGTCAGATGGATGTACTTGCATCCCTTAGTTGATATTCACTTCGAGAGTCGAACCCATAACCGTTCACTTCAAACGACATTACGTTTTCTAATTATCTACTGAGTTCAAATAGCCAATAGATTCTACAATGATATGAAGTTTGACTCATTTGTGTAATGGTTGTTTCAATCTTTGCACCGATTTTAGGACTGCAATTGATCAGTCTTTTACTCGCATATGTTCATCCTGTTCAGATTGCCTCTATATAGCCTAAATTCACAGGCACAATATGTAAGGATTACTTCGACATTAACATTCATCTTCAGAGTCCCAAATAGGATGAAACTCGCGTTTTAGATTCCATTGTTAGCCACCATCCATCTCTGCTCATAATACTAGTGACATAAGGTAATATACAGACAATTCACACACATGCTAATAAGAGATTGATCATTTGTAGTCTTAAACATCGATGGGAAGATTCAAACAACCAATGCAAACAATAATGGTAGAGTTTAGTTGGAAGTTGCTATGATCAAACACCAGTGGAGAATAGCAACGGTGTAAAAATATTTAATAAGCTAAATAAAATATTGTAAATGTATAACTTATGTGAAAATATTCTATGGCATTGATAGTAACAAAAGTCCAGAGAGCTATAAACAAATGGTTTCGCATTGAATAAACACTGATATTAAGTAGGAATAAGATGAGTGAAACTCAATTGGTTAAAATAAGATTACGAATCTAGAACAGTCTAAATAAAAAGAAACGTAACTATGTAATTAATTGAAAGAAGGAGTTGAATAAACTTTTATGACATAGTCAAGGAATATTTATCATCAAGATATAAAAAAAGATCAGCAGCCAATGACTTATGAACATATAAATTAGGTTCTTGACGCGTGATAACAACGGCTTCAGCAAACTTTGCAAGACTGGAACCTAATTGTTTATAAATCACCTTAAAAGATTGAAAGGTATCTATCTGATGTCCTGTATCCAAAATGTTTAGTAATTGTGCTGTTTAAAGCAGTTCTTTCTATCGTTCTTAGGCTTTTTGTAATATGTTCATAAAATCTAAGATATACTCTCATTTCCGTTCGACCAACGTAGCTGCTCTGGCAGGTACATGTTAATTCATAAACATAGTTGACGCTAACATAAATGTATATGGTTCATAATGAGGCTATTTCAATTTAACCTTAGATGGATTTGATACTATGAGTCCTAGTTAGTTTTAAAAAAATCAACAGTTCTCGAAAATATTATTGTTGGAGTTATTATTAAATCTAGTGTTTCACCAGTTACTCTAATTTGTACTTTTTCAATGAAGTCTTCAGAATCGAAATTATCAAAGATTAATTAAGTCCCAACCAATCACATTCGAAGACGTCAAAATGTGTTAAAATGTTATCTGTGTCTTTGATCTGAAAATGAGTAACTTAGAGTCTATGCTATGAGATATGCTTTGATGTTTATAGATGTATTTTGATCTCATGATAATTCACTGATTATTGTACGCTAAATATTATGATTTTGTTTAGTGGTTGTATTCATAGATGCTAATTACAAGAAATGTTCTGAAACTTTTCAGTTTCCAAATATACTCCTTAATCAAAAAATTCCTATGGTCGTGTTGGATAATAAGCGGTTTGATGCGTTGTGACAAAAGAAGTATTTGCTTTTGCTGGTTTACTCATGCAACTCTTTATAAGTTCCAAAAATAAATTTGTGTTTATATCTTATTTGGTAGCGTAAGTCATCTAGAAAGTACTCTGGTTTTGTCCATTTATCGCGTATGTCTGCTGTAATTTGCATTGTTTTGAATAAGATTTCTGCAAAGACAACATTCATTACCTAGTAACATAAAATAGCAGACACGATACTCTGTCCTAGTTCATGACTCTCCAGGATTACTTTATTTCGAAATCGCTTATCTAAATATTGGATTTTCTATTTTGTTTTCACTATGACTGCCAAATGATGATAGCTCATAAACATGAAGCATTTATTATAGTAAATAAAGAAAGAACTAAAGACCAGAAGAAAAAGCCATTGACATTCCCTAGTTTTTAAAGTTTTCACATAATTCTTCAATGTATGACGCAACACAATATAAAAATGGAACAAATGTTTATGATCAACGGATTAAACAGTGTTTATCAGTATAGTTTTTGATGACAACATCCACGGAAGACCAGGAAACGATAAACAACATTTTGTACTAGTATGGAACTATTAATTAATCCTCGTCCACTACTTCGCCGGATATTAAAGTAATGGCTTTTATCCTTTGCTGCTAGAGATTAAAATTTAGATCATTGAACTGGTCATGGTTTAAAATCTTTGTTACCTCGCGTCTTGGCACTGTTGATGAGTCCCATACTAGAACGAAAAAAAACAATTATACAGTACTTTGTGGTTTTCGCCGATCATTGAACAAAGGTCGGTTTGCAATTTCAATAAATAGTATTGATTTAATTGCTTCAATCTCATGTTTCGATTGATTTTGTTATTTTGTTATTTATTTTAATAGTTCATCCATTTCCTAATTGCTCTCAACAATTACCCAGTTACGAAGATGGAAATAATAATTTGGAATTAATTAATCATCCAAATGGGAGTTTGTTTCTGTTACCTGTTGAGACAGATTATAATTACGGTCAAAATTCATTTAATAAAATTCCCGGTACTTATTGGTCCACTAATAGTAACATAATTAATGATAATAATATTGTCAACATGGAAACTAATGAAAACAAGATAAATCTGACTGTTTCATCATATAACATGAACAATTTATATAATGATTATACAAATTATCACAATGGGGATAAAATAGATATCACTGGTTATCAAGATGTTTGTCAAACAATATTGAATGGCCAATGTTCAATACCTTTTAGTATACCTGAGGCCTGTCATGAACTGACTGATATATCAAAACATGTAAGTTTACAGAGAATTTATTCTTAGTTTATTATTACAACTTACTATAATAGTACTGTTATAACCATGATCAGTAAAGAATTTGTCATAATACCAACTAAATTTGTTTTGAACTGTACCTTTTAATAAAAAAAAATTCAGTAACCGCGATCATAATTTAGCTCCTGCTCATCCATTTGAAATAACTGGAGTAGCAATGTGTGTCGGTATGGCATTAATTAATTAATGATCACAATTACTGTTCAAAGTTATGTCACTAATTCTTTTAGCCCATTCTTTAGTTATGATGAAGATAAAGCCTAGTCTGAGTGTTCGACGAGTATATCCGATCAAGAAATATTTGCTTCTTAAATGCAATTTATGTTTATGATGATAAATATTTAGATTAACACAGTTGGACAGTTATCAAGTAAAATTATTCAAATCCTACACTTGAGCATTTCATTTCACATATAATAAATTATGGATTAATATATATGGACGACTGTTAGAAATGAGTGTAATAAAAGTATTCATAACATTCACTTTGTACACAAACATGCAATGGCCAGCTGACAAACTTCTATAAATGGGCTCCTTTAAGCAGAAAGAGAAATCTTATTCACTCATTATGTTACCAAATAAATCGGATATGTAGTACAGAATGGATTGACGAAAAACTCATATTCCTCTGGAAGACCAAGACGAAAAATGCCTATCTAGACGATTTCATAGATAAGAATATGAAAAGAAGTATTTGTGATAGGGAATCTGGTTGTTCCGTTCGAAAGAAAAAAAACGTTTATATATGTTTGGGACTTAAAGATGATCAAACATCTGATGTAATCAAAAATCATTTAACAAAAGTGATAAAAAGGACATTCTGTGCGGTAAAACTGCCAATACCGTTCACTAGTAGGAAACTGTTTTCTATATCCATAAAAGATAAGCTTTCCCATCTGATCGCCTCCATGTACATCAACCAGTTCACCTGCTCTTGTGAAGCGACGTACATTAGCCGTAACCAGAGCTCGCTTTCAACTCGGATACGGGAACTTCATCGTTTTAATATCTTTATTTTTTATGAGTCATTTCGTCCCACTTTAAAAAAACGAATAGGTACTCCAGAATAAACTATAATGACCCCTCAAATGTATGTTATTCCTTTTATATACAAACTAACCATTCAAACATATACTTTATGTAGTTGTATATTGCTAGTATATTAAATATTATAGAATCAACTTGACTACGTTTCATTCATCCATTTCTCAATATGTATTATAGAAAGATTTTAGAATTATCTTCTCAAATCCATTTCGTATTAGAAAACAAAACAAACAAACAAACTCAGTCTACGTTCAACTTTGTAGATGAATGAAACAGAAGTTTTCTAAATGTCAATTATTATATAATCGCCATTATAACAGTTTGCTTTTTTTTCTTCTAAGAATACTCCATTCATTGTTATATGATTGATAACATTCAAATGAAATTATATCTGTCAAGTAACTGAAATGAATATAGTAAGATAAGCTTTTTTCTTGGGTTTAGTGAATAAACGTTGGGAATAATTTCTAAGAATAATGATTAACGTTAATATAGACAAATAAATTAACTCAGATCTTGTATGATATATTATCAGTTATATGTGACTTTTATCAATAATCTCATTATAATTTAATTGATAGACTTAGATCAAGATCATAAATTTAATGAAATTATATTAAGTAATATTATGTTGAATGAAGTAATTTGTAATGGCTGTGCTTCGTTGACCAACCACCCTCGTAACCGTTACCATATAATCCTCAACGGTGTTTTAAATCAGAAGGCGAAGAGAAGCAGTGACTACAGTTTTATTAGCTGAGTAACTCAAACCACAAAGCCGAGAGGCAAATGAGTGAGTCAGTGAACCGAGAGTGTAGAGTGTTAAATGTACAAGTATATATATATATATATATATATATATATATATATATATATATATATATATATATATATATATATATATATATATATATATATATATATATATATAGGGAAATGAATGGATCGTCGAATCAATTAAGCAGCTAATAATAAAGCTAGCAGAGTGAATATATGCGTAGGCGGTAAGGAATGTTCAAGCATGTATATTTCATACAAGCACAACAATGATAAGGATACAGGAAGTTGTTATTAGTACGGAAAACTCTATCCGCTAAATAAGTTAACAAAAGGGCTTAACTGAGTTAAACAAAATCAATTGCACGTGAGTTGCTATAAGTTCAAAAGTAAAATGATTTTTATGGTTAGAATATTGAATAAAATAGATTAAATTGCTTTTACTTTAAGCGTTTACTTTTGATAACTATGTAAGATCCAAGACTATCATGTTGATTGCCTTTCATCACTTAGATTCTTTATTTCAAACAGAATAGAGAAATTCATACATATACAAGTCAAAGAAGATGCTTTCTTTTTTTTTATTATGTTTTCGGAGCAATTGATGATACGTTGAAAATACACACACACACTTACACACACAAAACGATGAGAATACGAATTCTTAGGAACTGTGTTTGTAAGCTATATAGCATTTAGAAATCATTTATCTCTGACTAAAGAAGTTTAGCATGCAAGAATTCATGGTCTCTTTACTTCACCTTCTATACTTTCACAATGAATAATATATTCTTGTTTGTATGATCAAATCACGTTACATTTAAAAAATAGAAAGTGTTCCATACATGCATTTCTTGGAATTGTGATAGAATAGATTACTGTTGGAACTATACATTCATTAAGAAAATCACAAACAAATTTGCAATCTTTTCTAAACTTTTCTTATCACAAATCCCTATATAAATGAATATGGAAGTCGTCAGTATACATCAACATCGTTGATTATGTAAAGGCATTTGACAGTGTTGATAGGAGAATGTTATGGAAACTTCTTCGACACAATGGAGTTCCTCAGAAGATTGTCAGCATTATCCGGAACCCGTACGACGGGCTACAGTGCAAAGTCGTTCATGGAGGACAGCTGTGAGATGCAGTCCAAGTAAGGACTGGAATCAGACAAGGCTGTCTACTCTATCCCTTCCTCTTTCTTCTGGTGGTCGACTAGATTATGAAGACCTTGATATCTGAGGGAATACACGGCATACAATAGACAGCTCAGAACCAATTGGACGATTTGGAATTCGTAGATGACCCAGCCCTCCTATCACATACAAACGAACAAATGCAGATGAAGACAGCCAGTGTAGCAGCAGTCTCTGCATCACTAGGTCTCAACATACACAAGGGGAAAACCAAGGTCCTCAAATACAACACGAGAACACCAAACCAATCACACTTGATGAGAGAACTCTAGAAAATGGAGATTCCTTCACAAACCTGGGAAGCATCATCGATGAACAAGGAGGTTCAAATGCAGACGTAAAGACGAGGATTGAAAAGGCAAGGACAGCATCCCTACAATTGAAGAACATATGGAACTCAAAACAACTTTCAACCAATATCAAAGTGAGAATCTGCAATACGAACGTCAAGACAGTTCTACTGTACGAAGCTGAAACTTGGAGAACTAATACAACCACCATCAAGAAGGTACAAGTATTTATAAATGGTTGTCTACGCAAGATACTCAACATCCATTGGCAGGATACCATCAGCAACAGCCTACTGTGGGAGAGAACAAACCAGCTTCCAGCTGAAGGGGAAATTAGGAAAAGACGATGGAAATGGATGGGATATACATTTTTCAAATAATCAAACTGCACCACGAGGCAAGCCCTAACTTGCAATCGTGAAGGGAAGCGGAAAAGAAGGAGGCCAAAGAACACATTACGTCGGGAAATAGAATTAGACATGAAAAGGATAACTAACAACTGGAAAACATTGCCCAGAACAGGTTTGGATGGTGAATGCTGGTAGGCGAATGAATGAATAGTTTAACAAAAATCGGGTACCTGGTATATAGACATAATTATATTAAAAATGATTAAAATATAAATAATTCTATCATTTCTTTTAGTAAGTCTATCTGAGATTCTTCAAAGTAGCAATCAAAATCAAAAGAAATGAATGAGTATATATGTGTGTGTATGTTTACGTTATTATTTATCAAAATTTTATAGAGATACGATATGTTACTGATGTATATAAAGAAAAGGTATATTGAATAGATTCGAACGATATGACTTTGAGAATACTAGATAAAATAAGATGGAATGAGTTTCCTTTTGATAATCTGTATGACTAAGAAAGTTACCATAATATTAGTGAGCAAGTTAAGAATTTTGTGCTATATATCAGCAGTTGTTTTCTCAAGGAGTAATATTCGTAAAGAACTCATTATAGTGTGACCGATTGAATAGAAGTGATCCATACGTTTATGAAGGAAGGGAACATAGTATAAACACAAAACACTAAAAATCCATAGCCTAATCTTTTTTTATCGAAAACATGTTCATGACACTAATCAACAAAGAATGGTACAATTTTTGATTATTGAATTCTTTGATGCATTATTCAATCATTGTCAAATTTTCCAGTGGAAATATCTTTTCTACACAGATGTCTAATGAGATATTAGCTTCATCTGTTAAACCTCTTCATCTAATTATTATTGAATCCTCAATGAAACTGAAAACTTAATTAGAAACCTTGACGTATCAAATTCTGGATATAAGGCAGATCCATTCTATATTTAAATGATCCAATAAAAATTCAACCCATTTGCGTTTCAAGTCCATTCTCTTAAATGGTTAGGTTCTTTAGTGTTTGCTCAAAACATAAACTCATGGACCTAACCTAATGACTACTTAACCTGGATTCAATGATTTACATGTCAAACGTAAGTTAACTCCCATTGTTAAGTACAAAATTCAACAATTTCCATATAACCTCACAGTAATAATATCTACCCATATTTCATCATGGAAGTCTCCTCATCACTGTCTGTAGTTTTCTTACCATCATTTGATTAATTGTTGTGAAATAACTATACAAAACACATTGATTATCTTTTATTTTTCATTGTTGATTACATTATTGATTACCATTATTTCCATTGAAATTACTTTGTAGCCACATATTTTAATGTCTACAATGGATAATTGGCCAAAATTATCAACAACCGATTTTACATCTAATATCATTATATCAACTGATTGTGATTCAGGTAATGGTGATAGTGTAGAAATTCAACCAAATTTATCAACTAAAGTTTATTTTGTTGGAAGAACATAAACATTTAAACGATAGGCAGCCCAGAAAAGTTCAATTATATTATAGTATATATGAACGAATTACATTCAGTATTACTTATATTCTATGTAATAACATTGATGAATTATTGTAATAAATTATACATTTTTCGATATGAAAACGAATTTTTCTTATTATATATATATAGTGTTAATATTAGCTGTATATGTTTTAATGATTCAATGGAATATCCATTCATCTATTGATGAAGATGATATTTCTTTTCTGTCAGTATTTCTATTCATGAATTTATCCAAAATTTATGCGTTCATTACATGATTTCAAAATTAACTTTATTCGTCCCTCTTTTTTTTCGTTTATTTCTCTTCTTGTTTCTAAATTAATGAACCATTTCATCACTAACACTATGATTTATCACTTCAATTAAATCGATACAAAGCGATCGTTCATTTAAAGAGTTTCATAATCATTTATAATCATTCAATCAGTGATATTATTTATCATTCCATTACATTATACCTATTCAATCTGATTATAAAACTATATATTCTATTCAACTTCATTTTTCTTTAATCATTAAAAGAAGAGTATTCATAGGTAATGCATAATTATGTAATAACTATATTTATTATTTCTATTTTCCTCTTGTAATTATTGAGATTATGAAAGGAAGAAAGAAACCAACAACAACAACAACAACAACAACATTGTTTTGGTTACTAATCAACATTTGACTGTACAAATGATTTGCTTTCAATATTTTTTATCTTTTAATGAATAGTGTTTTCTCAAAGTTCTCTTTCTATTTTTTTTTACATGAGATTCAATGATAGAATCATGTTATCAGATAATGATAAGTAAAAGGTGTTGTCGTTTATTAAAGGTTCCATATAGTGTGTCATGAAACCATAAGATTGTAGGGTAATTCATTTATATTTGGATTATGTGAATGTAAGTGTTACTACGAAAGTTATCATTCAGAAGATACAAGTGTTCAATAGCAACTGTCTACGCAAAATACTTTAGGTCCGTTGAACAGAAACTATCAGCAACAACCAACAGTGGGAGAGAACAACCAGATTCCAGTGAAGGAAGAAATCAGGAAGAAGCGTTGGAAGTGGATAGGACACAGATTGATGAAAGCCCCGAAGTGCATCATATAGCAAGCCTTCACTTGGAATCCTCAAGGTCAAAGGAGAAGAGGGAGACAAAAGAACACATTACGACGAGAAATGAAGACAGATTTGTGAAGAATGATCAACAATTAGATAGAACTGTAAATTAAGGTTCAGAACAGAGTCGGTTGGAGAACGAACTAAAATTTGAATATTGCACGGATAATCACTCTCACATACTTACAAAAACCTGCATTGTAAATTAACGTTTGAGTAGTTGTATGCTGTTGGTAAATAAGATGAGCCTGCCACAAACGCACTACACGTCTGTCAGTGCATTCAAATTAAATTAATCTTCCTTCTCATTTAAGAAGTGGTTAAAAATGGTTTATGTTGAAATTATGACATTTTAGAGACATCGAATTGTTTAATGACTCATCAATACATATATCAATTCAGTACAATTGTATTGAAGAAAGTATGAATTTATCCTCCATATGTAATTTTTAAGAAAAATTGTTGTAATTAATCTGGTTAACAAGACACTGTTACCTACTAATACCTGTTACTTATTTACTTACTTACCCTGTTACTCCCAATGGGGCATAGGCCGCGCAACAGCATTTTCAAACCTACTCTGTCCTGGGACTTCCTTTACAGTTCTATCCAATTTTTTTTCATTCTTCACAAATCTGTCTTCATTTCTCGACGTAATGTGTTCTCTTGACTTCTTTTTCCCCTTCGACCTTGAGAATTCCAAGTGAGAGCTTGCCTTGTAACGCAGTTGGGTGCCTTCCTCATTGTATGTAGCATCCACTTCCAACGCTTCTTCCTGATTTCTTCCTACGCTGAAATCTGGATTATTCTTTCCCACAGTTGGTTGTTGCTAATAGTGTCCGGCCATCGGATAAGAAGTATTTTGCGTAGACAACTGTTAATAAACACCTGTATCTTCTAGATGATAGCTTTCGTAGTTCTCCATGTTTCCACAACACACAGTAGAACTGTCTTGACATTCATCTTCTAAAGCTTCTCCATGAAGTGCGATTCGATTGTTGATTGTTGTGTCGTATCCGAGAATCGTACTTTTCTCTTTGTGTGTGTTGAGACCTACTTCTTCTGAGGCTGCTACTACACTAATCGTCTTCTCCTGCATTTGTTGTTGCGTGTGCGATAGAAGAAGCAGATCATCTGCGAAGTCTAGATCATTCAGCTGCATTCTGGCCCTCCACTGCATCCCGTGCTTTCCCCCCACCAGATGTTAAAGTCTCCATGATCCAGTCGATCACCAAAAGAAAGAGAAATGTTGAGAGTAAGTTACCTTGCCTGACACCTGTCCTTACTCCGTACGAGTTTGTGAGCTCTCCTCCATGCATGATTTTGCAGTTTAATCCATCATAAGAGTTCCGTATGATGTTAACTATTTCCTCACGCACGCCGTATTGTCGAAGAACCCTCCACAGTGTTGTCTTGTTTACTCTATCAAATGCTTTCCCGAAGTCAATAAAGTTAATGAGAGTGATGAATTCCATTCAATTGCTTGTTCCACAATAATGCGTAGTGTTGCGATTCGGTCTGTACACGATCAATCCTTACGGAATCCAGCATTAATTAGAGTATCAGGTATTAAAATTTTCTACCACATTCACAGAAATATAAGATTGTGAAAAGTAACGTATTAGTTGTGAATAGTAAAACAATAAATTACGACTTAACTATTGATCCATTTGTGTCAGTAACATCTAGAAAACTAAACTAAAAAATCTTGTCAAAAGTAAGAAAATGTATATGTCTTTACAAAAACACAGAATTTGTTTCGGTTATCAGATACGACATAAATTCAGCTAATGGGTCTCAAATTGTAAGAAATACAATTATTGTTTTTCGCAATTCATTTATTGTATTACACTCGTCTTATAATAATAATACTGAACATCTAAGCTGCTTCTAAATATTTAAACAACAAAAGAATCAACTTGAGGTAACTTAACGAAAAACTAATTAGGCTGTAAGGGTTTTATTCTTCCCGTTCTTGGCGATAAGGTCTAAAATTGAACAGCCTTTTTTAGCAATATGACACCCACAGCAGATTAGTTTAATATCGCTATCACCTAGAGGTATTTTTAACAAGGTTGGATAGTGACTAGAAATGAAATTCAGGAGCTCTTCGTTTTATTTGGGAGTCGTTTGATGGGTGTATCTTAATTTCACTGTTGATTATATCTCTGGGACTCGAACACAATGTCTTTGGTTTCAAACGTTCAATACATTATCCGTTTAACTACTGATTTCAGATTAACCCAGTACCTTTCATTGAATGAGCTATCTCTTCCGGCTAAGAACAGGTTAGTAGATTCCTCATTAATATCTCTTAGCACCTCTTTCGAAACATAAACTTAAGACTGCCGCAATTTCTATATTTTCTCAATTATAGAGCAACTTGTCAAACATTATCAATCATCTTTCACAGAAATACAAACTAACTCAAATAAGTGCTAATTCCACCATTATGTTAACTATTTAGCATCAGTGCAACTCGTTGTGTATGTGGAGTATTTTCTTCTTCATGACCGGAGTATAACAGCAGCTCCCTTGAAGCTAGTCTTTGTTGTCCAACCTTCATTCAATGTGTTTCACAGATTCCAAGCAATTCCAGGTTGTATCTTTTCATTTCTGCTGCAATTTGAATGACTCTCCCGGTCCCCCACATTTTACGAGCAATCCATGTGTCTAAATTAGTGGTTGCTTTGGTTATCAGAAGGGGCATCAGCCTCGTGACATACGAAGAACTCGGCTTTCATCATGAGGCATTATAACTCTTCTAAATGAAAATTTTTTCACTTCCAGGTCAGACTTTAAATGGTTTGAGTAATTTTTTCCGGTTAGCATTGTTTCTAGCGAGTTAGTTTTCTACGGGAGAGGTTCGCTAACCCCATGTACAACCCTCCTCCCTTATCTGGACTTGGGACCGGCAGTAGCAACAGAAGGGCTCCAGGAAGAGTTTTATATATATATACCCTGTATATATTCACGAATGAGTTGACTATTGTGGAATTCATTGATGTATAATAAACTAATTAAAGCTATAATTAAATGTTCTTTTCTCTATCATAGATTTGTCTAATTTTCCATTGATTCTTTTGTTCCACAAAAATAAATTGCATTTTCATTTTGTAAAAAAAAATTTTTTTTCAATGTCTAAATATTCATTCAGACATTGTGATTTATCATTCATTAATATCATAATTATACAAAACTAATATAAAATGAGCATAAAACTGTATATTCTATGAGTAAACTAAACAAAATTAGATACAAGTTTATGAGTCAACAAATTGTACATTAAAGAGTATTTTGTTGAATATTCAATTTGATATTAAATGATATGCACAAAATGGATTAAGAATTAATTAATAATTCATGTATTCGTAACCTCAATCAGACAAATTTTATTACTTGAGTAATATGCATTAATAATAGTTGAGATTATGTATCAGTTGTAGCTAGAAAACCGTGGAAAATCTGGAAGTAAAGGATGGCCGTTTTACTTCTTAGTATGTAACTCTTAATCTGTGCGCATCTACGATCAAACCTTGCTAGATTCGAACACAGGACTCATTGGTCTAGCGTACGAACGGTTAAACACTAGACGACTGAGCTGGTCGGCATTCAACGGTGTTAATGTCTAACTTCAACGTATCCAGGAAATTGAACGACACATCCACCGTTGTCATCAGTGAGTTACTATCTCAAAACAAAATTCGTTGAACTCCACTGGTTACTGCTTTTCACTAGAACTCCAGGATATACCACATGAAACCAGTCACATGTGAGCATAAATTGATTTGTACCAGAAGGGATTTTGTGGATATCGTAGTAATTTTAATTGTTGAGATCATGAATCAA